GGTAGAGCAAATGGAGATCTCAACTAACGTAGAGTTATACAAGTAGACATTTGGATGGTTTCAATGACTGAGACAAAGCTTTGGTTACGGAGAGGAGGGTTTTGAAGAGAAACAAGAATTAATTGAAAGTGGGCGAATAAAATCACTGATATAATGTAAGAGAGACATCGGTGTGAATATAATGAGAAAGAATATAAAAAAATAAGAAAGACTCCTTGTTAAATACGATTTTTGTGAATGGGCTTTTTGGCCTTGTAAAACAACGGCAGAAATAAGAGAGAATAAAATCAAGGTAAGAAATTATCAAACAAGATGACTGAAGGAAAAGGTTTCTTGAAGTTTGATTACTTGGAGAGTTTTGGAATGTAAGGCTCGTTAGAGACATCATGAGATATCATCTAACGCTCCGAGATATTCAGCGCATTGAAAGCTTGTCCCAGAGAAGAATCCATTGATGGTTTGTTAATGTCATTTGACCAACAGAAGTTATTGCTGGAATTTGAGTTGAATTTCTGTGAATTCCAGAGATCATATAGATCTTGATTGATGCCTAGTTCATCTCTAAAACCAAATTTACCCTCAGATTGTTGAAGTGCGCTTCTTGGGGCTGTACTGAAAGATCCGCTGTTTCTTGAACTATTACCGCTACCTTCTATATTGTTGAATGGGAAGCCTGAATTACGATTCATTAATGAAGGGTTTTCTTGAGTTGATTGTTGCTGTTGTTGAAGGTATTGACTATTCTTCAACTGGAACTCAGATCGAATCTTTTCAAACTGAGACCACATTGGGTTATTCATTATATTGTTGGAACGCATTCCGTAGGTACTAGGTCCCTCTGAGTTGTTGTAAAGACTCACTCCAGAACCATTTTCTATGAATCCATTTGAAATTCCATTGCTATTGTTAAATAGACCATCATTGGAACGATCCAGAGAGTGATAATTTCCAAAGACCCCATTCCTAGATGAATCCATTCCAAAGTTGTGTCCTCCGTACATACCACTCCCATTTCTCTGGATTTCACTCAAACGCATCAAGCGATCGCTCAACGGGATCTATAATTTAATTAACGCCACTAATTAAAATTAAAAACACGTTTTATCGTGAATTCACAATTCCAGAGCATTTGTTCTGAAATTAATCATGGTGGTTTTATTGTGATCATGCATAACGCATAAAAAAATATGGAAAATTTTATTTTGCTCAAATTAATACACTTAAGTACAAAGTACTCCTAACCGACTTTTTTATTAATACAATAGAAGAGCTTATATAAAATATCTCATAGATAAGCAAACGTTTATGAATTAGTGAATTGTTCTTTGCAGTCAGATAATATAAAGTAACCTACCAAATAAAACTAATTTCGATTTAGGGACAAAAATATATGAGCAAAATAACAGGTATTAACAATCAACGAACCTGATTTGATGGAATCGAGTTCTGCCCGATGGCTTCGAGTAATTGAGAAGCATAACCTGAACTAGGTGGTTCACACGAAGAAACGAGACGATGAGGTCTTTTGGTCTGGTTCTTCAACTTTGTAGATCCAAATTTTGTGGCTGCGAAAGTGGCCGCAGTGAAACTAGGAGTGGAAGTCGACTTCTGGACATATGTTGATGGCGTTGTTTGAGTGAATGGAGGAATTGCATTAGCTTGACTGGCGTGGCTCTCGAACTGCGGAAGATCACCTCCTAATTCTTCAGCATGACGCATGGCCTTGCTATGAAAGTCATTGAAAGGAAATTGATTTTCGATATCTGATTTTGCTTGTGATGAATCAGTGGTTCCACTATGATCGAAAAAACTACTATCACCGGACTTTTCTTTTTTCCCGATAATCAAATCTGTCTTCTCTTGGACTTCTAGTGAATCTCCAGATGCCCTCTTTGAGTCAGGGGTAGATGTGACTTGGCCATCATCAGGTTCAGTGAGGACACTGAGAGCGGCTTCAGTTGCTAAATGTGTTTGGACATCATCTAACTGTTTCTTTGAAGCCTCGTTCATTGGGACTTCAACATCTTTTTCCCCATTCATGTTAAACCCAGCTCCATTTTTAGAGTTAACTGAATATAAGACTTGATGCTTTGTTTTCGGCCAGGATCCAGATCCATTCGACGAAGACACTGAAGATGCCGAAGAACAACCTGAGGATGAACTACAACCATTTCCAGAATTCCAAACAGAGTTGGGGATAGGAGGGGATGTGTCATTAGACCCATATTGGCAAGTGACATGTCCCGGATCGATAGTAAGTACTAGACCAGTTGGTAGACAAGCTTGAATTTCACTCCATTCCAGACCGCTGGAAATGGCAGCTTCTAGGAAGATAAAATCGGTATGAGGTCCACTGGTTTGAAAGCACCGATGTGTTGATTCCTGATCGGAGGATTCTATAAACCAACCAGGCTGAAGTTTCCTAATCAGGCATTTTTCTAATTCTTCACCGAAATTATCCACTCGCCTTCTTGGTAATTTAGTGTAGAGATGTGAGAGAAGGTAGTTAACCGCAACAGAAACCTCAACATACATTTTGGCACCTGATTATACTTTTTTTCAGATGCGGTTACTAGAAAGCGAAAAAGACAAAATTTATTAGTGTATGAACTTGACTACAAGTATTGTTGACAAATCGATAATACATGTGCTGATCATGAGGGGACATAGTTTGTATTATATTTAAAATCCACGATATTAGGTAAAATCTTACCAAAAGGATAGGTGGAAGATCAATCAGGAAGTACTAACCACTGATCGATGGGATGTGCTTGAGCTTTCTTCCTTTGCAACACTTAAAAAAAAGGAAAGAAGGTAGACTAGTAGGTAGTCAATAGGGCAGGCAGGCTGGATGAACTGGGATAGGTATAGATGGACGCCGTTGCTACCAGCGCGATTAGCCAACCGATGGATTGAACGGACGCACTAGAAGGGATGTACGCAGGGTAGCACTGACGCACACAGTTGCTACTGCCTTAGTAAAGAGGGGAGGAGGGGAGGTTGACACTAGCTTAGCAGCAGCTGATACTGCAGCAAAAAGTGATTGCTTGGGAAAACGTCGACTGCTTTCGAACGCCGATGTTGATGTTAGTGGGAAGAGAATATGCAAACTTGGTCGTGCGCGTCGGTGCGCGAAACCATCTAATGACGTAGGAGAAATGGGATTCGTTTGCGTATTGGCCGTCTATAGTTGGCCAAAACCCAGCTTGCGTAGCCGTTAGTTGATTTAGAATTGTTGGGGTAGAGCTTTGAAGCAATAATATACATTTATTGCCAGACTAACTGACATTTTTCGCATTTTTAAAAGAATGATTTCTCGGTTTATTTCATTTTTTAATAGAGGGCGCACAAAAATATCGAAATTCAGTATTTTTTATAAAAATAACAAAGCGATAAACAGAATAGCAAAAGGCACAAGAAAGCTCTCAGCTGATGTTTATCAGAATGCGAGAATGTACTAATTGTTGAAAGCTGAATTAAGTATAATTAACTTGATTACTACTCGAAGAATTAGAAATCCATAATTTCTAAAAGAATTCTTGATAAATTCAATTCCCATGTGTTAATTTTTAAAAGTAATGAGAAATAGTACTAAATGTAATGAAACAGAAGCGAATAAATACCCTCAAACCCCAGAATAGTGATTAATTTTATCAATAGCAGACCAAGAATCCCTTTTTCTTTGAAACGAACTTAGACAACTATAAAATTCGTTCCAAACCCATTAATTATTTTTTTTATTGCCTTGGATTTCACCATTGTAAGAAGAAGCGCCTCATTTCGTGACTAGCTCATAGGTCTATAAGTAAACGATGCCCATTCCGTTTAGGAATTTACTGCCTGATCATACGCATGACACGAAGAAATTAGTTGGAATAAATTACTTTTAAGCGTTATCATGAAATTGTTACACCCTTAGCCACAGAAACTGCATAATACTACAAATTTGTGCCCTTATGTGTTCGAAATGTAGTATAATTTCGTCAGTATTCTGGAACACTTCAAAGTTGCCATCTTTTTCACCCAAGTATACAATTTTTCGACAAATTTCTAGAGTTAATTGAGTCGAAAAGGACACTTTATTAACTATGCAGCTGAGATTTCGAATTTATTACTTAAAAGGTCAAATTTTCTTCTATTTCTATCCTTCGTTAGAAATAACCAGAAAATCCCTCCAGGTGACGATAAAAATACACCAATCAAGGAGGAGTGGGCGACCTTGGACCTGCATTTTTCTGAACCCACGTGCCTATCAGCGCAATGCACATAGTTACCATGCCTACACGCCCATCGATTGGGCTCTACGTTCGTGTGTCTATTCTTGCGAGGGTGTGTTTGGGTGCGACCCTGCGTCGCGTTATCAAGGTCGTATCGATCAACACGCGAAGATGCAGTAAAGCGTTGGCAATGCTTGCACACACAGACGCACGTGTAGTGATTGACCTGCTAAGTAATTAACCACGACCTTGGCAGAGCCAATCCTAAGCAAAGATATTTTCCTAGTTTCCCTCCGGCATTTCTACCACTTTCTGCAACGTCTGCTCTCCTTTTGCGTCAGTAAATCTACTTCTTATTACAAAATTTAGAACTGATAATTTAGTAACCGTTGGTAGGCCAGTCCAACTGAGCAATCTTAAAATTGGAGCGCGTTACCAGATTTCACATTTTGCTATAAGCTACACCAAAATACCCAAGATGTGCAATGCAAAGCCTAAGCACTTAGCATAGCTAAATAGATGTATGACTTTTTAGAATAATTTAGAATAAATTGTCAATTATTTTTTTTCGAAAAATTTATTTATATTTGCTCAACAGTACTATGTGTGCATTTCCATAAATTTCTCATTTTACGCATATCGATTTATGTAAAAAAAAGGCTAAAATATTTTAAAGAATGCACGCAGTTGTCGAGGTAAATTAAATCTCCTCTCTAAGAGAAGATATTTTAACTTTAAACCAGACATTTTCTTTTTAGTATTCTCAGTTGAGGAACCCTTTATTGATCCATTGATTTTGCTATCAACAATAAAATGATATCCCTTATGTCATGTACTCGGTTTAAGAGCACGTCCTAAATTATGCACTCCGGTTTAGACAGTCAATTGAGACCATCTAACTTCTGCAAAACTTTACACTTTTCTTCTCGCCATTTACCAATTGAGAAATTTAGGTTGGGTCGTGGTCATATTAACTATCTCTCAAGGGTTAAATGCCACTGTTGAAGGACTCAAATGTATTCTTTAATATCATTATTTGAGGGGGGAGGGGTACGCGATAGACGTACGTCCATGTGGTCCTCCCTGGGCAAAGTACTATGACCCGACAGTGTGTCCTATTCTACCACTTCAACAGTACCTCACCTTACTATTTCCCCTAATTTTGTGTCATTCTCTTTTGCATCTGTGAATCACTCTTCTCCCCTCCCCCTCCCCCACCCCAATCGACTTACTGTGACTTTGATGTTCCTCCCCTTTGCGAAATCCGGAGTCAACTAAAGGGCTAATGATGACTACCATAAAACCTGCCATTTGCACTAAGTAAATAAATATCTATATTTGGTTATTAAAAGAGCATTCCCTTGATTGAACGAAAACTCAATTTTGGGCAAACAATTCGGAAAGCGTGCAAATGTTTCGTCAAAATCTATGAAAGCTCAAAGGACTCAGATAATGCTCTTGCATGGCCAAGTTGCAGTTGGATTGAAATTTCATAATGGAGATTGATTCGTACCTTCCCAGTCATTTATTGCGTTTATCCAAATCCTCAATTTCTACATAAATAAATAGTAATGCTGTTGAATTCTTCACATCCCTACAGCATCAATCAATCAGTCCATCGAACACATCGTCCTTTCCACCGTCCTATTTTACTGGAACTATGCCTGTCGATGGTTTATCGCGAGTAGTTGGAGCCTGAACTTATGGAGAATCATAAAAAAATATATAAATATGATTACGACAAACGAGTTCAAACTTCCATGTATTAGCATCCACCATCTGAAAACTCTTGAAGATAACCCCCCCCCCCTCCACAGAGAAGAGCGTTAATTTAACTCAAGCTGTCAATCAATGTCAAGATCTAAACTTTCGTCGAAAGCTTCCTTGATAGTCCGGGAATGATCAATACATTTTTAGATAAGGAAAATATTTAGACTGATTTGAAAAAAAGGGAATTAGATGGGAGCAGTTCTTTGAATTTTTTCCAATGCAGGCTATTTTCGAACGGGACTGCCAATTCCTGAGGATTATTTTGCTTAAAGAGTCAGATGACACCGCCAAGTAGGAGAGCTAACAGCAGTGGGCAGTAACATAAAAGGAAACGAGATGACTTGCCGACAATTCTCCAATTAAGCTGATTTGAAATGCAAATATTCATAGCGTCGATGCCAATATATATAAACTGAAGGAATTCGCATATGCCAATTATCAGCTGACAACCAGTTGTTCCCTAAGGGACAAACAGTTGGACTACCAAGCCTCAACATCAAAGCACTTTTAAATTTAAAATCCCAGAATCGGAATAAAGGAAGTTGTTCCCCCATTTCAATGGCATCGGTTTTACAAGGTGGTCAATTTTAGCGAAATCTTTACGAATCGATCGATGACTACTTCGATGGCACATGACAAAATTAAAAAGATGACATTCTGTCAATAACTTTACGCGATTAGATTGAGAAAATATGATGCGTGCACATAGCACAGCTCTGTGATCGCAAAGTTGGTAATGATAACAATAAAAAGCATGCTAGTATCTATGTTAAAACCTATTTAGCTTTACAAGTATAAGTCACCATGGTTTCTCGATGGCCTTGGAACTGGATTGCAAATTTTGTTTGAATTCTAATATTGAAGTTAAGAGTTCGAACTTAAACATCTTCGCCGTTGATGAAAAAATGCCCTTTCTCAAAAAGTCGGCAATTGCGGTTGTCTTTCATTCTTTGACAAGAGGATTTCATCAATTATTTTGAATTCAGGAAAGAATGTCTTAATTTTGTCTATAGATTCGAGCATAATTTTCATGGAAGGTTTATTTATTTATTAATAACAAATGGCAGGCTTTTTGATAGTTATCATTGACCCTTTAGCTGACTTCGGAATTCACAGAAGGGGGGGGGTAACATCGAAGTCACAAAAATTGGAGAGGGGGAACAGAAGAGGGATCCAAAGATGTTATGGTGACTGGCATAAAAGTAGAGAAAAGGGCAAGGTGAGTACTGAGGAAGTGGTCAAATATGACATACACTCGGGTCATGGCAGTTTAAAGTCAACTGCCGGTTTATCACCTTTGTTGCAGTATGAGTATACATTGCCCAGAGTGCACCACGTGGAGGTAAATCTATAGCACACCCTTTTCGTGGAAGGTAAGTTACGCTTAGCGAGTCTTTGCAACCTGTTGATTAGTGAACCATGCACTTAAAGTATTTGAACAGAGGGGTGTCTTGACAACGTGATATGATGTGACATTTCTACTAATGGGTGCAGTAAATGTGGACCAAGACCCTGTAATCATTCGATAGTAAACATTTTGAGCGGAAA